CCAGGGAGAGAAAGAGACTAAATGATCATCCTGATCTTCCAAGAAATGACTCATGTCTGTGGGCTTTTCCCAGAAAAAGGTGAAGTATCAAGCCTCAAGAAACATGAGGGCCAGTGAGATCAGTCCCTTAGCTCTATGGAGTTGACACACACACACCAGCCACCTAATTCATGCACCTACAATTGGCTTTTCACCACTCACCCAACATCTATTACTCCTCCTTTAACTACCATGCATGCTTTTGTAGGATTTAGATTACATACCTATTCACACATGCACCTATATAAACAAGTCAAAATTACTCTCATTGCTCACATATAAAGATGGTCTCATTTCACACGCTAGCAGGGTTATGATCAAAATCCTACAAGGAAGGCTTCAGCGCTTTGTGGACTGAACAAGTTGGATTTCAAAGGGGCAGAGAAACTAGAGACCAAATTGCTAACATGCACTGGATTATGGAGAAAGCCAAAGAGTTCCAGAAAAACATCTACTTCTGCTTTATTGACTATGCAAAAGCCTTTGACTGTGTGGACCACAGCAAACTATGGCAAGTCCTGAAAGAAATGGGAGTGCCTGACCACCTTATCTATCTTCTGAGTAACCTATACATGGGACAGGAAGCAACAGTTAGAACTGGATATGGAACAACTGATTGGTTCAAAATTGGGAAAGGAGGTTAACTAGGCTGTATATTATCTCCCTGCTTATTTAACTTATATGCAGAATACATCATGTGAAAGGTTGGACTGGAGGAATCCCAAACTGGAATTAAGATGGCCGGAAGAAATATCAACAATCTGAGATATGCAGATGATATCACTCTGATGGCAGAAAGTGAGGAGGAATTAAAGAACCTCTTAATAAGGGTGAAAGAGGAGTGCACAAAAAATGGTCTGAAGCATAACATCAAAAAACTAAGATCATGGCCATTGGTCCCATCACCTCCTGGCAAATAGAAGGAAAAGATATGGAGGCAGTGACAGATTTGACTTTCTTGGGCTCCATGATCACTGCAGATGACAGCAGCTATAAAATTAAAAGACTCCTGCTTCTTGGGAGGAAAGCAATGACAAACCTAGACAGCATCTTAAAAAACAGAGACATCACCTTGCCAACAAAGGTCCTCATAGTCAAAGTTATGTTTTTTCCAGTAGCTATGTATGGAAGTGAGAGATGGACCATAAAGAAGGCTGACCGCCGGATAACTGATGCTTTTGAATTGTTCTGCTGGAGGAGACTCTTGAGAGTCCCCTGGACTGCAAGGAGAACAAACCTATCCATTTTGAAGGAAATCAACCCTGAGTGCTCTCTGGAAGGACAGATCCTGAAGCTGAGGCTTTAATACTTTAGCCATCTCTTGATAAGACTCCCCAGAAAAAACCCTGATGCTGGGAAAGTGTGAAGGCAAGAGGAGAAGGGGACGACAGAGGATGAGATGCTTGGACAGTGTCATTGAAGCTACCAACATGACTTTGACAGAACTCCGGGAGGCAGTGGAAGACAGGAGGGCCTGGCGTGCTCTGGTCCATGGTGTCACGAAGAGTCGGACACAACTTAACAACTAAACAATAACAACAACAAAAGATGGTCTCTCCAGACATAATCCTTGTCTTGACTGCAGTTTGGAAAATCAAATAGAATAAAAGGAAGCAGAGTCAACTTCTCAGCTAGCGAGAGGGTCAGCTTCAGAGAACTCTGCTTTCTTCTGAGTTTCATGTGACCTAAGAAGACTTCTAGTACCTTTTTCCTGTCTCATATTCTTACTTTTGCCTTTGATCAAAGATTTGCTTCAAATCATCTCAAATTCCAGCAACTGGGACAGACCATGACTGGAGCTGGGTATTTGTGCCTCCCTCTTAAGCAGCAAGGTGTTCCCCACTTTCTGTTTGGTCTACCAGCAGTTGCTAGCAGCAACTGCAGCAATTCTGTATCTGGAATATGTCTCCTTGTTCTTGTCACTGACAGTTGCTTTCTCATTTTCATTCTGCCAGAGTCACACCAGTCTACAGCGGCTCCGGTACCTGGTCTGGTTTCATTTATGATGAAATATTGCAAAGCACAAGGGGACAGATTCATGCCTTTCCTCCTCTTTCTAAAATCAGACAACACCATTTTAGTTACACAACGCTATGATTTAGTAAGCCTAAAACTTAATGGCCAAAATCCTATTACTGATCAATGCTTGCATAGGGGAAATTGTGTCATTCTCGTCAGCAAATTGCTGCTTATTAATAAGATGCTGGTTGTGTTCCTGGGTGGACTCCATGATGCAACCATGAAAATATGGCACCAAAACATTACACCAACAGCCACACACCTCAAGAAACAAATCCATGTGAACAATTAGCTCTGACCAGGCTGCTTAATCCATTACATTTGTAATTGTCTTTTGTACATCTCAAAGATCTGACTGGAATAAGCATATATTTCAAAAACAGAGGTACCATACAGGTATACACATCACAAAGTTGGACTTACCTATAAGAACGTGGTTATCACAATGTACTTTAACAACATTTATACCAAGACTGAGTCACCACAGAAATTATGGTTAATAATAGAGCAGTAGTCCTAGTATTTATACTTAAATCACAACTTTCCCCTTTCCAAGGAAAAGAAGATGTGTATTTTGTTCCTTATTTTATTTTAAGCATTTGTTTATTTCCTGTTTGCCCACTAGGGTTTCCAAAGGGATTAACAAACTGAGCCCCATAACATTTTCGTTGGCCAGGCTATTCCTAGGCTAAAGGATAGCGCCTGGCTAAGGGTTTTCTGTGAACATTGTGTTGATTATTATCAAGTAGCCAGTCTCCTGACTTCATTCTCTGTTAGAAGCAGTTAAAGGCTGAGCCACAGCAGCCATAGGAGGCTTCTATCTTTGGTCCCATTTCCACTACACCAAATTGTTGTGTTCTGCTCTTCGGCTTGGACTTCAATATCCCTCATTGTCAACTGTACAATGACATCGATTCTTAACCCCTCTACTCCCCTCCACCCAAGTCATTACCATCTGCCACACAGAGCGACACCTGCCTCCCGGGGGCACTTTCTATGGCTGACGTCACTAGGAAAAAAAAATCTTATTTAGTAAGCTGTTATCCAAAATCAGTATGTGGTTAAAAATAGCCTCTTGTCTATGCAGAACCTTCCTCGGTTTATAGACTAAACAACAGAGAGGCAGATAAAAGGATTACAGATGGCCAGCCTAGGAACAGTTATAGCTGAAACATTGAAACTGACACTCCCACCTCCAGATGGAGAAGTAACATTACAGACAGAGATTAAGAAGCACCCTCCAGAATCATGCAACAGAGATATATGGACTTTCTTCACATTTATTGTCACTTCTTAATAATTTCCTTCACATGAACCCTTAAATGCTCTCTTTCCCCCATCAATAAAAATGCTCCCTGTCATAAGGCCTCCTCACACCTCCAACAAAACCTTTGCTTCCTTCAATCTGATTGAGTGAACTACAGTATATGAAAGCACAGATAACAATATATCTACTAAGTTGTTACAAGGCTCTTTTGTTTGTTGTTAACACAATAATAGGGCCGGCCCTCAAGAATCTGTTTCTGCCAGTTGTACATTTTTCTGTTTCAAGCAAATTCCACTTATTCTTGTTTCATTTCCTCTGGCCAGTCTTCCTTCTTACACCCTTACTGTTATTCAGACATGCCCCTTTCCATCATGTCTGACAAAAGATTCCAGTGCTTTAATGGGTTACAACTAAGGATAGCTCAAGATGGCCTTGCAGTCTTCTAAGCCATGATCAAAATCTTCTTGTCATCTTATCAGGGCTTCATTCTCTATGCAAACAACACCACAGTGAACAATTCTATACTCAGCCAGAGGCACCATGGAACAAATATATTGCACACATTCTAAAACTAAATTAGACAACGATGCTCTGATAGTTATGCTGAGAGTGTCTGTGGAAAACCTGGCAACCCTGTTTCTTTTTAAATTCATTTTAGAGTGGGATGGGTTAATTCAGATGCTCTGCCACTGTCTGATGCTTATTAGTGGAAAGCAAAAAATCTCCTATGTTACAACCTTGTGCATATTTTCATTGGTGCAATGCATATTCGACACAGTGGGAACTTGCTTGTGGAGAGAAGGGTGGCATATAAACAAAACATAATACCTTCAAGTAAACATGTACATCCTTGGGCTGCTCCCTTACCCCTATACTCTCTTATATACTTCAAAAGTGCACAAAACCCTCCTAAAAAGTGATTAGCCACCTCCAAACTTAGTAGCATTCCACACTAAATCCAATCTAAGGTAGCCTCATTCTTGCTATTGTCATTTCTGGAAATGGAATGTTCTTCCCCCCCAAATTCATCTTAATTCAGAATCCCTGCATCTGTAATGCCTCAGGACTGATGAAACTTGCCATCTCTCAGTTCCAGGGTATATTTTGAACAGTAAGACAACACACCTAAGAACACAGCAAGAGGGCATTCCTCCCAGTATAAACAATTCCCAACCACTGCCCCCCATCATGTATTGTGCAACCACATTTCAAGTAAACGCAATTACATCTATAGAAACTTGAACCTCTCCTTTCAGATATAAAGTCCTGATTTCCCAGCTTACCCCACCCCACCTTCAATTCTAAAGTCTTCCACTGCTACCAAATCCCCTAATTTTGTGGGAACAGAAAACACAGTTTCCAGATAAGAAATCTCCTCCATACTCTCCCATGGGCAATTGTCATTGACACACAACCAGGCCCATCTGTACCAGAAGCACATTCTGGCCTTTAAGGGATGCATCTAAAAGGAAGGAGCACCAGGAGTTTGGGTATTTAAGTTTAGCGGGGAGAGAGGGGGGGGGTGTTACTTACTTTTTATGTTGAAGCCATTGATGTCTTTCTGAAAAGGGGCAAAAGGGCAGGCGCCGCCCCCATGGTTCATGGTGGGAACGGGGGAAGGTCTTCTCCAACAAGCCACGTCTCCCACCCGCCATTCCCCTCCCCAAGGGCTCACCTGTGTCCGAGGCACCTGCGGGAAGAGATTGAGCGTGGTGGGCCGCTTGGGTCTGTAGGTCTCCATGGTTGCCGGCGGCGGCTCCTTCTTGATCGGCTCGGGCGCCGTCCCTTCTTCGCCTGGGGTCTCCCCAGCAGCGTCAATCAGGTCGAGCTGCAGCATCTCCGCCTGGAGACGGCTGGCCTCCCCTACACCCACTCCCAGGACGCCGCTGCCTTGCAGATTGACATGGCCCTGCCCGGATGAAAGGGGAGGGGAGGGGAGGGAGCGGGGGCGAGAGAGAGAGAGAGAGACAGAGAGAAATCATGAGACTGGGAAGTGGGGTGGAGAAACAGAGGTCAGGCAATCATGTCGCATCTCATAAGCGCCCGAAGAGGGGGCGAACAGGAGCCCTGCCCCCCTTCCCCGCCGGACCTAGCTTCCGAAAGGGCAGCAGGATGAAATCGAGCAACCAACTCCTCCTCCCCGCGCGAAAAGCTTCCCGCAAAAGTATTTTGAAAGGGTGTCTCCCCTTCTCCCCCGCCAGCCAATGAGGGGCATCGTGGACGCGTTCACCGCCCCCACCCCATCCCACCCCCGGCACTTTTGCCCGAACGCGTTTTCTACCGGAGGAATTCGGAGAAGCGCGCGTCACGTTCTCTTGCACAGCAATACCGAGCCTGGAGGAGAGAGGCGGCCTCCTGGGTTGGGTAGCCACGCTGGGAAGCTGCCAGATCTGATTATAGGCCCGTCTAGAGTCGCCTGTCTCTTCACTTAATGATAACGTGTGTGGTGTTTTTTTTTTTTACTCCTTCCGGGTATCAAACGCAGAGTCTTGGCATGCCCCACTTGCACATGCCAGGTATAGAAACAAGGAACAGACAGACAGACAGACAGACAGACTAGATAGATAGATAGATAGATAGATAGATAGATAGATAGATAGATAGATAGATAGATAGATATGTTCTGACACAAAGCTACCTTAGTTTTCGTTAATGGTATGTTTTCCCCCATCCAATCAAACCCTATGGTCAGAAAATTATATACTGTATTAGAGGATGCCTCCATACTATGTTAGCTTTCTAGATGCAAAGATTTTTACAACACCACTGTGGCAGAGTAAATGTTTTCATATTCACCCATGCCCACTTTCCCTCTCTTGGTCAGAATTCTATTGGGGATGTATGCCAGTGTAAGGATGATGGTGTAAACTCCGGTGGTGAATTGCCACCAATAAACAAATTGCAGTTCACATTGTAGTTCACATGCCAGTCACGTGACTAGGAATGCCAGCCACAAGTCCTTAATGAGCTGCCCCCCTTTATGCAATTGCACTCGTGAAGATGTAAATTCCCAGTGAGATTCTGGCCCTAATTTCAGTAGTGACCTTCCCTGAAAGATCTCACCTTGCACCTACATTGTACTCATTTTTGACACCAATCAAAAATGTTTATCTTCTTTCTGACTATTAAGGGTTTTATTGTTAAACATTTTATCTGGTGTATGATGTTGTAATTCACTTAATTGTACACTGCCTGGAATCACAGCAGTCTGTATAATATCCTTTCAGTCATTTTAATTTCCCTAAATCTGCCTTTTTCTTTTTGGAGAAAGGCAGGAAACAAATTAAATACAATAAAATTAATACATATTGAGGAGTCTTGTGGCACAGTGATTAAGCTGCTGTACTGCAGCTAAGCTCTGCTCATGACTTGGGGTTCAATCCTAGGTAGCCAGTTCACTCAGCCTTCCATCCTTCTGTGGTCGGGAAAATGAGTACCCAGCTCTCTGGGGAGCAATGTGTAGCCTGCATAATGAACTTGTAAACCATTGTGAGAGTGCGTTAAATGCTATGGGGTGGTTCATAAGCAGCTTGCTTTTATATATGCACATACTAGCCATGGTACACAAACCCCTAACAAAGATCTTATTCTACTGGCAGTTGAGGGAGAATATCCCACAGCTTGGAACAGTTTTTGTTGCTGTTACCTTGGATTATAATACCCAGAATCACCCAGCCAGTATGGTCACTGAAGATTCTGAGAACTATAGTCTTAAAAAATAACTTTCCTGAGCTCTGGAAAAGCCCACAAATGCCTCTTTCTGGCAATAAAAATGCAACAATAATAAGTTAAATAGCTAATAACAGTTTTTTTCATGACAGACAAAAGTAGTCACTTGAGGTGCCTGCCTCACTCTACCTTTGGATGCATGTATATATGTTTGATTTATATCTCAAAAGCCTGTGAAAGCATTGGGCAATGAGAGGGGAAATTGTTATAGTTTATTAATATCACAGCCTATATAGTCTTGATCCAGGAAACTGCTAGGTACTGCAGAATGTCAGAGCTGCAGACATTCTTCTAGCCTTTGCGAATACATTAAAAAAAATCATCTCCTTCTATTTATAATCTGCCCTGACAATCTGGAAATGGCAACTGTCACTTCTGCTCATTACATTTTCGGGAGTGCAGTGGCACCAGATATCCTATGATCTAAAGAGCACTGTTGTCCATTTCTAGTATGACAAAATGTGTAGGAAATATGGAACCCCACTGTGGATAGTAACATACAACAATTGCACTGGGCTTATTTCATGGTGCACAGACTCACTAACACACTGTAAGTAACCACACCTCTCAGCAGGTTCCAGGGAGGGGGAGGTATTGGTATTAATCAGTTATCACAAAAAGAAGCCAGAGTCTTACATAATTTTTTAAAAAATCACAAATCACTTTAAGGATCACAATTTTTCATAGCTTACAGTCCACTTCATCAAACATGAATTCTCAGGAGGTGCACAAATTGTGAAATACATATTTGTATGACTTACTATGATGACTGCACCTAGGTTTCACTGTATCCCATGTGCAAGTGAATGACAAATTCCTAGCAATTCAGGAATGCACACCTGGGCTTTGTATAGAGACACTACCATCTCCAAATACACAGAACCAAGCCCAACCTCTGCTGCCACCTATAGGACTAGCGTTGACCCTGCATGAATAAGCTAAGGAAATAACGCTGAGCTGTGACTAGCACGGCAGCTTTTCCAGACATTCTTTTTAATATTAATAAGGAAAGATCAGAACTCCACAGTATTTCTGCAGAAGTATCTTTACTAGTCATTTTGAAAAAAAAAAGAGTATTACACTACAGCCCCTGAAGAGCCTTCATAGGTGTCAAAGGCTGCCATAGAGTCAAGATGCCATACAGACAACAGGAATGGCTAGGACGGCTGGGGCCTGAGATCAGAAAGCCTCATGGGAGCAGCCAGTCAAGGGCAGGGGCCAAAGCTACACAGAGCCAGGGATCTGAGCTGTAAAGAAGGCCTGGTGGAAAGAATAGGGTCTGAGAAGAGAGGGAAACCAGGACAGGAGGAGAAAGTGAAAACTCCTGATAACAGCATTCCCTATTTGGGCCCTAAAGACTACCAGCAGCAGCTGGGTCAAGCGTAGGCAGGGCTAGCCACCTCTGTTCTTCAGCAGGACAACTGTTTCACCCTGCTACTTAACTTACAGGTCTCAAGGGCCTGCTCTGGCCATAGCTAATAGGTCTCACAACCCTATGTGGCCTTGCTAGCCACCTCTGTTCTTCAGCAGGACAACCGTTTCACCCTGCTACTTAACTTACAGGGCCTGCTCTGGCCATAGTTAATAGGTCTCACAACCCTATGTGGCCTCAATGTATTTGCCAAAGAGGCCATGAGACCTAGTAAAATTCAAATCTGATTTTGTCGCTGTCACAAGCTGCTATCCAAGGCTGTGTGGAGACTCCTTGCCGACACTGGGTGGGAAGGAATTTCTATAGTGTAGAGATGAAATGCTGATTTGGCAGTTTGTGCTGGTTTGTCTACCAACCAAACAAGTGTTCAATGGTTTCCACCAACTGGTGCTCACTCAGAAGCAGCACTCCAGCTGCCCTGGCCTGCCTCCTCCAGGCATTGTCTCTGAGTGGGTGCCAGTCAGCAGAGATGGGGCTGGAAACCACCAAACACAGGACAGGCTACATGACGGGTTGTGCGGGGGGAGCAGCTGGCAAATAAGGAATTTGTACTGTACACCGTTGATCTTCTCCTCTTAATAGGATGTTGAATATAAACTTTCAAAGACCACTTAGTCCAGTACAAATCTGTGTCACTAGTATCACATTGAGAAAACTAGATTTGATAGTCTTCAACAGTAGCGAACACATTTGGTTTATCCCTATCTCCAACAAAGCCCCAAAGTCTGCAATTCCCATAGTTCTAGAGACAATGACTGCTGTACATTATGATTTTAGTTATGATTCCATCCAATCCTTCTTAATAAGCTTAGTGTTTTAACAGTTTCACAAGATGGCTTCCATCCAATCCTTCTTAATAAGCTTAGTATTTTAACAGTTTCACAAGATGGCTAGTTTGATCTCTTTTCATGTGTGGCCATGCTTCTCACTAAACAAATAATATAGCATGTTTCTTGATATGATTTCTCATCTTGACACTTCACTGGGAACTCTGCTGGTTATCACCACCTGGGAAAATCCTGGTAAAATTCCGCCACCTCTGTCAGCTAGTTTGATCTCGTTTAACGTGTGGCCATGCTTCTCACTAAACAAATAATATAGCATGTTTCTTTATATGATTTCTCATCTTGATAATTTACCTTTAAAGTTCTTAACCTTTGTTACTCGGATGCTTTTGAACTGCAACTCCCAGAAACCCCAGTCAGGACAGCTGGTGGTGAAGGCTTCTGGGAGTTGCAGTCCAAAACTCCTGAGTAACCTAAGGTTAAGAACCAGTGATTTACCTTTAAAACTGGTTGGAGGGAGAAACACATAGCACAGAGTTTAAATTCAGAGAGAGCCCACATTGAAAATTTCTAGCTGGAATTAGGTAAAGCACAGGGCACAGGTATCCACAGACTCTTTCTGGGCTTCCCATGTCTATTTATTTGGCTACTGTGGAAACCAGGATATGCTATACCAGATAGGCCTTTAATTTGATCCAAAGAGATGTATCTTGTGGTATAACTTGATTTCAACAAAACCTCTGACAAGAGGTCTCATGATATTCATGTGGCCAAACTGGTAAAATGTGAGCTAGAAAATTTTATTGTTTAGGTGGCATTACACCTCTGTGGTGGGCCATGCACAAAGAGTATGCACCAATAGTTTTTCATCATCCTGTAGAGAAGTACCAGGTGGGACGTCACAGGGTTCTGTCCTAGGATCAGTGTTGTTCATTATCTTTGCAAACAGTTCAAATGAATGTG